TATATATATATATATATATATATATATATATATATATATATACGCATCAAACTTGGCACATACGCGTATATATATATAAGTACTACAGCCTCATCGGCACGGAGCGTCCCCAAAATGTGTTTCATATGGACAAAGGTACACATAATTCCTGTAGGTATTAGATATCCATCCGATGTACCTATACATCCTGCAGCGGTTATATAGCCAGCTGCTGCGCGGCCTTGCACGGGTGTATACAGCGGCATTGCGTAATGGCCGAATGGCATTTTGGGAAAGAGAGAGAGAGAGAGAAAGCCACACGCAAGTATATATATATATATATATATGGGGACGACGACGATGAAACGAAGCGCGATTAACGATTAATGTTGCCCTCCCTTTTGTACGAGGGGGAAAAGCGACGACCCTCGGGTCGCCGGGTTCCTTGCACGCGCGCGCTATACTTTATATATATATATATATATACACGGCAAAGTTCAGTTAGTACCTAATATGTATAGGTGTAGAATAGTCGTATGGGTATATGCACGAATTGGCCGATTCCCGGCTTTTGACGCGATGCACGGGGAGAGAAAGAGCACCCCCCCGAGCCATACGCGTGTACTCGGCCCACTGCTGTACCTACTTTTTTTTCCCCTCTATTCTTGCGAGGATAAAAGGGCCCCAAGTACATTAGGGGGAGAGTCGCACGCGCCGGCTTGTAGCTACATGTATGTGTATACGTACCTTATATGTATGTATGTATATATGTATAAAGCTAAGTGTATGCGGTAATGGTGATGGTCGCAGGGTGTCTTTCTTTCTGGCCGCACGCGCGATAACACCGTTGACGTGTTCATTCGGGGGCGATTATTTGCTTACACGGTCTATATAGAAAAATGGCACGAGAGCACCGGTCCGACCGCTCGGTCTTTTGACGCCTGTGTGCATGCAAGGCTTTTATATACATGTATACGGAACCCTTTTGTTTGCATCTCCGGCTTGCCTCCTCGTTGGGATTTTATTATATACGAGGTCATAATTGTTTTGACTCTACGATGGGTCACTTTCTTATGTATGATAATATATTGCACGCTTGATCGATGACCCACCGAAAAACGGCGCCAATTGATTTTACCATCTTATGTATATACATAGTGCGTTGGTATTTTGCTTGTGAGGGATGCTTACACGGATACTACATTTTGTCCAACAGTATACATATATGGAGCAAGGATATACCTATACTTACTTATAGGTGTGTTGGGTATAGATATCTTACTAGTTCTTATTTTCGCTGTTTCGTGAAGTAGGATTTTTTATTTTCTCATCGTATCAGTCATCTGTATCATGTGTAATATATATACTCACCAAAGCGAAAAAAATCAATGAATTCATAACAAATCGTATAACTGGTACGTAATGGCCATTCAATGTAATAAATACTTATAGATGTATCTGTACTCCATATCTTTTCTCTGACGATTTACAAGGTAAAAGGATTCTTGTTGTTATCGATCGCGTGACGTAATGTATACGTTACTCATCTGATCCAAAATTTGTGACAACAAAAGTATAGAACTCAAACGTAATATGCATGTTTTTGCGCGAAAAATCGATCACATTCTTTTTCGCCAAATCACCAATTGTTTTGGGAGTAATAAAAAACAAAAACAAAAAAAAAAAAAAAACAGAAATCCCAAGCTCATCCTGACAAACAATACATTTGTCATCAACGCGATAAGTCCCAAAATAGTACAATAATACGCGGTATTGCAAAATCTCCGATTTTCAATGAAACGCTTTGATTGATGATTGATAAACAAGTAGGCGATTTAAATACGAGGTCGCGCGAGATAACAACGGCGTTATTGTAGCTGGAAATGTACTTTGCGAGAATGCGGAATCGAGGAATTATTGCCCACATGCGATTGTTTTATACAATGTACACGATTCAAGCCGAGCTGCAACTACCGCACCACACTAATGTACTTGATAAAATGCAGTTCGGTGTATACTTACTTATGTGTACTCGGTGGAGAAGTCTCGAGTGAAGCGTGAAGCTACTGATAAATAACGAATATATTATGACACTTATTGCCATTGTCGTCGTCGTCGTCGTCGTCGTCGGTCTTTGTTGGGGCAATGAAAAAACATTCGTTTGCTCGAGAAAGGGCGTTAAAGATAACTTTGTCCACTTTTTACATCGACACTAGTGTTTTTATCCATACAGCTATAGTCGGTACACAAGTAATAATTTTTTTTTTTTTTTTTTTTTTTTCATGAGCTACTGCACGTCGTACTTGATTATTTGACTATTGAGAGAAACTATGTACACAAGATACAACGCGGGACGTATAAAAGCTTACTGAAATTTAAAACAGTGTATACGGCTAAACACGCATGTCCATGTAGTGTTTTTACTATAGATTTATTATACTTGTAGGACTTGGCGGTCACTAAACCGGAACTGAAGTCGAGCATGTTGTACCTACTTTTTTTTCTCAGGCATTTTCTTGGTTCTAGATCTGTAAGGAAAAAAATAAAAAATAAAGAACGTCAGGCATAAAAAAAAAAGGGGGGAGAAGCTTGTCACTGAGTTTGAGCTGCGATAGCAAAAAAACAAAGTGTTAACTGCGAGCTACGTTGGTGACGTTGATTAAGTACACGTGTGCAGTAGTAGTGGAAGAAAAAAAAGGATATGTATAAGTATATTCTGTCGGATTTAACGAGGCCCAAAAGTCGTGCCAAGTGAAATATACATATATTTGTACCTACATCTCAAAACGTTCGTTTGGTCTCTCCGAGTGGCCCAATGATGTATTATTATTATTATTGTTTCTAATGAAACCAGATTTTTTTTTCTTTGTTTTGTTCGTCTCGAGCAGCGTTCTTTATTGATTTTGTCTTAACGACTATTACACAACAACGCAGGTATATACCTAGTTGTACCGCAATCCGCAAACGTACAACAATGGCACGGCTAATTGGCCGCACGAAGAATCAAATTGAGATCGAGTGTTTCGAGTCAGTTGGGGGATAGGTATACATATATATATACAGCTTATGTATTATATATATATATATGCCTGCACTTGGGAATATATATAATAGGTATGGTATACAGTCCAGCATATATTTTTTTTATTTTGACTTATCAGTGTGCCCCAACGATTGGACATTGGAGAGTATTATTAAGGATAAAGTAACGAATCATGGTAAGGGGGGAACAAGGGAATATATATTTGGCTAATTTGATTGTCACATACTTTTAGGTCTTTCGGGGGAGAAATTCACTTCATATACGCGAGCGCATTAATGTTGTATACACACGGGAAATGCACCTATAGTACATGATAATATATGTATGTATATGAGCTTATACAGTTGAAACGTGAGAGTCAGAAAAATGTTTGCTTTTTACATCTCTTTCTATTTTTACTTCAATAAATACCTAATGCTCAGTGTATTTGTTATATTCCTATATGTATACATTATCAATGAAAAAGTTACAACGGAGTCATATTAAGTAAATCTTTACTTTATAGGTTTTTTCGCTCATATTTCATTTATCTGTAGGTATACCTATACTTGTTATAAAAAAAAGGTATCAAAAAGAGATATATGTATAGATGGAAAGAAAGTTCCACCGTGCTTGCACGCCCCTCAACTTGATGGTTGTTTAAACATTGGCACTTTGGCATGTTACGTCGTCGTTAGACTCTATGCATGGAAGGATTGAAGTATATACTTGTAAGCTACACATGCACACAGCAACAGCGGCTCTTATAGGGGAAGCTGCCACGAGAGTCATGCTTTGCGTTTGTGTATACAGTATATATAATATGGGCCCTCTATAACATCCATGCCTCCCATCATGTTGATACAGGTATACCTGGTACAAGGGTGCGACGCGTATAAGTTAATAGCTATATGAAGCGAATACACCCGAGGAGGCTCATAAGCTGCCTTTGTCAACGCTATACCCAGTGCATCTGCACCTATACCGGCATGCGTTTGTATGTGTACCGAATATACATACACACGCGTAGTAGGTGTGTATTTGATCTTGTATGTGACGTGTATTACAAATGAGCGTTGAATTCTATATACTTGATTGGCCTTTGCCGTATATATACTTATAGCTATAACCGTCAGTCATATATTTGTCTACTGGTGCACGTACAAAATAACGTAATCGCGTGTAGTTGTAGGTATATATAATGTTACATCGGAGTACCTATATCGGATACGTGAGACAACAAGAGCGTACCTATAAAATTATACATACACGGCGATTGAAAACACGCTCGAGCGTCTTACACGTGAACACCCTAGAATACTTAATTAACTGTACTCTGTGTTACTTGCCATTCCTACCATACTCGCTCGTCTCCTTCAAAGCACACACTTGTCTCGTGTTTTGTACATATACCTATACACATGCATTGCTTTTTGATCGGTACAACTTACCTTAAAAAAAAAAAAAAAGTATGACTTAGTACAAAAAATATACATTTAAACAAGAAAATTTTACAAAAACATGTACGCTTTCGTTAATTCATGCCTTATGTCGAGTATAGCTTTCTTTTTCTTCTTATTCTCCATTCGGTTGTCCCTCGTTTTTCGATTTCACGTATTTAATAAGTGTAGAGGGCGAACAGAAGTAATTGATTTTTATTTCTTTGAAATCTAGTCAGAGGGATTGGACACACGATTTTGCTTAGAAAGTAATGATCTATTACTCAATCTAATACTAGATGATACAAAATTAACCGTGGTATTAAATGTTTTACATTTTCAATGTTTCTACAGTTGGGCGAAATAAAGTATCACCTCGAATTCAATTTCTAAAGGATGTTTCGATTGTAGGTCTTACGTAAGGTATATTGCTCGGTATATTGGTCTTCAATTCTATATACTTAGTCGGAGGGAGATGTATCGTACACTCTCGAATTCATATAAACTTGGAACTTTTCAACTAAGTATCGATTTTTCTTTCGTTTTAACTTTTTGTTTCCATTTTCATATATATACTTCAACTTTTACTTTTCCATCAGCTTAGGATCTCTATAAAAGCGTCATATTATACTTTTGATGAACTTTTACTGCCATCATCATTCCTCTCATCACTTTCCCCCTCCCTCAATTTTTTATTTCTTATTTTCTTACCACCTGATATAAAGCTGTTAAATTCTACAACATCAATGTTTAATACCAATATTTTTTATGGTAAAAAATTTTTTTATCTATCATTACTATGAATTACAATTGAAATCAAGATCAGATGTCTAGTACTATTGATTAGATTATAGGAATATAAGTAATACTGAATCCACGAGTACCCGCTATAATATTACTTCACTAAACCGAGTTATCTATTAATTTTAATTTATATGTGTTAGCACATATACATGTAACACATTGGGATTGAAATAAAAGTTTATGAAAATACATTGAAATGCTCTTTCGTCAATTAGTTTTTTTTTATTTTATTTTTTTTTATGTACAATTATTTGTACGGACAAAAGTTAAAAACGTAATGTTTGTTTTTCTTTTGCAGTGGAAATCCCGATGGTGCGTCATGCGGAAGCTGTCACCGGTCGCAGGTAAAGTCTCGTTTATATTTTTGGTTCATTTATTCCATCAAAACCGAGTAAAAAAAAAAAAAAAAAAAAAAAACAACAACATAGAGACAATCGATCCATTGGGCCGATACAAAAACGTGCGAACGTGCGAGCACACCCAAACGCACACATAGCAGGTGCTTGAAATATTATTTAACAAAAAGATCAAGCGCCGCGTGACCAACGGCATTGTTCTTGCGGTGGCGTTTTCGCTCCCTCGACAATGTCATCGTCCGGAAGCGCGTTGTTTTTTATTTTTTTTTTTTTATATTCACCCACCACCAGCGCGAATTGGCGCTTTTAAAATATTTTTTGTTTCGCTTCTATTCTACCGCAATAACGTGATTTGGATGTTTCGACGCCTCAATTGTTCAACCGCGGCTTCAAACGTAACTCTCCCTTTTTTTCTTCCCTCCGGGGGGTTTTATATCCGTATATACGGCGATATGCGAGCGGAATATAATGGCGTCTCTATTATCCCCCGGTGCACATGAAAAAACGCGGCGGGCGTGTGCACCTGCTACTGCCGTTGACGGTCGCTTGTTATCGTTTTTGCAAACAGTACGAGAGGCGATTTTCTTTTTTTTTTTTTTTTCATATTCTTCTCGCCTTGATCGCGCATGACATCTGGTTTTCTCGAGTGGCGAGGTTGCGCGGGGCTGAGGCTGGAGAGAGGGAGAAGAAGGGGTTATGGGCAACGTATTGTATAAGTATATACTTGCATTGGGGCTGCAGGAAAAGTTTATTGTGCTCTTAAACTCGGCTCAATTTTTTTTGTTACACCAAAAAAAAAAAAAAAAATCTTCAAGCACAAACAATTGCTAGTACGGAGACCAAATTAACTGTTTACCACCTCTACGTACAAAGTGCCTTTATCCACCCTCTAAAAATTAGCACTAGCGAGTAAGCAATTGGTTAAATTTATGCCAATCACGACATTTTTGCATCCGAAGGAGTCATGGACATTTTTCCCCAAATAACAAAACTCCCACCAATATTTGCACTATTATAGCACTTTAGATATATAAACGTGTGTTAAAGAAACGAAATTGTTCTTTTCTTTATCTTTGGACATTTGTATACGCCCTCAGCAGAAAATATACAGTTCACACACCTGGTGTATACATTTAGCCAAGCCAAATATACGGGGTTCCTTCAGCCCAGCGCTATACCATGTAAAAAAACTACTATTTCGCCACATTGTTATTACTTTATGTTATACAACATAGTTTGAAGTAAGACTTGTAAAATTAACTGAATCAGTAAAAATGAAATTCATTTTTTTTGTATGTAAAAGCTAAAAAATATAAGAAAAAATGTTGGTTACCTCCGAGTAAAATGTGACATGGAAATTAAATTATAAAACAGAAAAATGCTCAAAAGAAATTGATTGACGAGGATTAATCCATATATTATATACGAGCAAACCGACTCGTTAGTCATTCCAGTAGCATCGCCGAGAGACAAGGTGCGTCAGGTGCCCCCCGCATCCGTTGCTCGCCAATCGTCTTTCATCCTCTTTATTTATATTATCGCGTGTATACATCCACAATTGAATACGTATACAATATAAATAATACTCATACTGTAGGTAAAGATCTTCCGTCCTGTGCATTCATTCAGCCCATTATGCACGATAAGAAAAAGAAGGAGAAGATTGTTATCTGCATGGGAAGGTAAAAACGTCCCTTCTTTTATTTGTACGGGTGGAGTCATCAGCTCCCCCGAGTTCCCATATTTTCCCCAAGCTGTGGTGTACGCAACGCCCAGTGCCGTCTAAGCCGTTGTGGCGGTGGTGTTACTCCTGCAGACTTTTCTCTGCCGCCGCAGTATACACGCTCAAGAGGCAGCAAAAATGATAGCGCGCACACGTGCGTGTATATATACACTCTCGAGGGCTTTCCAGGGAGATGAATGATCAAGCCCCCGAGAGACACCGTGAACTCCTTGGACAACTTTTCCCGCTTCTGATGCCGCTGATATTGTGCCTGCTTTTTCTCCTCGTCGCGTCTCCCGCTTAGTCCCCCCCCCTTTTTTTTTTTTTGTGATGCCACGGAAAAGTTTTTTTTAATCCAATTTTTACTTGGAACTACCGTTTTTTACACGGGCATCGCTTGGATTTTCTCATCATTGTGTATATTTAATTTAATTGTATAAGCTTTATTGAAATAAAAAAAGCTTTTTTTTACGGGTTTTCACGAGAATTTCGGACAATGGTGCGAATCGCATTACGTACACAATCGGGGTTGGATATATTTTAATCACGACTATTCGTTTAAATTACCACAGTTTGTATTTGAAAAAAAAAAAAAGAACTCGGTTACCCACATTGCGTTTTTTATGTTTTATTACAAATTACAAATATACCATTTTCCTTTGTGGGTATATTTATATCTGACTTTATTATTCGTATAGCTAGACTGTTTTCATGCAAACATCAAAGAGTCAAATTGTAATCAAAACATTTTTATTCACCAATTACGTACATTCGTTTTTTTTCTAACTTCTTAATGAAAAAATTACAATTTACACCCTTATACGTTTGTATTTTTCAAACAATACGAATTGGGCAATAACATTTTTGTTCATTCAAATTAATAATGTACCTGATTATAGTAACAGGTAGTGGACAAATCATAATTTCCACAACCCTATAAAAAACGCGTAACCTTGATTGGTACATAATATATAATGTATTCCAATATCATTTTAATAAAGCTTGAAATAATTATCTTGTACCTACAGATTGTATATCGCGTATGTCGGAATTTTTCATCGTTAATCATAATGAGCAACAAGATTGCATGTAAACCACGTGTACACAGTAATGTAGGTACACACAGTTCTCGTTCTATACGTAATATACATATAGATGGACATGTATACGTTACACTGTATATAATATGGATGCACGTTCATTCATCACACGACGACGAGGAGTTAAATAGAAAACGAAGCTCTTTTATTTCATTTGCCATATGGTGCGATGGGACGGTTCTCGTCATCCGCTCTTCTGTTAATATTTGTACGCATCAACGTCAAACCCTCCAATCAAGCTTTTTACATATATGTATATACATGCATACATATACATTTCTATACACGCGCGGATCTCCCATCTGTGCATCTCGCGCACAACAAAGTTGACACAAACGATTTTACGGCTTTACATTGACTTTCCCTACAATTTATGCCACACGTCCCGACTTGTGTATATTATATGATAAAACCGATTATTGAATAAAAAAAAGATAAAATCACGTGCTGGCAAATATACAGTGTACAGATGTAATACCACTAACAAAAAACTACAAAAAAAAGTGCTAAAAATATTCAAATGCTTTTTTTTTTGTTTCTCCCTCAAACACTTTGGTATTATAATGAAGTATTATTGTGAAAAAACTACGTAGCATAAATAAAAATCGGGCCAACGACCCACGACTCCCCTTTGATATTGTAGGATTGCGGTATAATATTCCGGTAGCCGTAAGTGCGCGCTGCAACGAAAATATTTTTTCTCTTCTACGAACCAACATACATCCACTACTACTTATAATATTCCATACGATCCCTTCTTATCTTACTTCTTCCGTGGGGCGCGGGGCGTCTGTGGGTTGTATTATCCTTTGAGAAAAAGAAAATACTACATCTACAGCAGTCACCTCTTCACGCACACCTCCCACGTGCGTGTATAACTATTGTGGTCATGTAGGCATATACCACTTATTATTAAATACGCACATTGTACTAACGGAGAAGAAATGTTGCAGCCGGTTTTTTCTTGTACTTCTGAAAAACCGCAAAAACCGCGTTCTTCGCATATAATATTTAATGTTCACTCCACAAAAATCATTTTTGACTGTACATTTTTAACGAAATATCTGATTGCTTTTACGGTACATTTATAATCCTTACCATACGAAATCACGACGATTTTTTCCCACACTGAAAAAGAAAAAAAAAAAAAAGGACGCATTCGATGGAGATCGTCAAGTGACACATGAAACGACCTGCACTATAAGTATTTTTCATCATCAAGCGTGAACCAACGAACGGTACGGTTCCGACGGTAAAATTTTTCGTAACTACCAATTTCACCGTACATATAGATTTACGATAAAAACCGAGCGTAACATTTTTCTTCGACATAATGGTATAACTCACGTATATATATATACCCGACCTTTGGCGTCGGACAAAAGTTACAAGCCATATTCACGGGGACACAAGGCGCGCGCGTACCGCACGAGCCGGCCCAGCCGACGCCACGGTGGGCCACTGCTTCAATGGACAGTAATGATAATAATAATAATAATAGTAGTATCCTCCCCCCATTGCTCCCTACCGTACCTACACTCGTATTCTTCGAGGAGGAAGAAGCATCGCGCCCAAGATGATCATTGTTTCGTGAACAGCGCCACGTGAGCAACAGGGGAAGAAAGTATATATGTATATTTATATTCGAATAAAGGCTCATTTGAATTTAAAAAGGCACCTCGTGGCACTTACATAATTCATCGTGCCAAGGGGGACGACGCACTGCCTGTTACAATATAGATACTTATTATGTATCGGACCTCACAGCAGCAGCAGGTCGCAGTAAGTATAAACCGCGAGGACACGCACGGCGATAAATACATACGTATATAGGTAATCTCGCCGGGGTCTTTTTATGCGCCCTATGGAGTTAATGTAGTCCGAAGCTGAAGTGGGAAAAAAACGAAAAAAAAAAGAAGAAATTTAGAGGCGCGGCCGCGACCAGCTGTACAACCCTAAGGGTATATATTAGCGGCGGGTCTGGCGGAGTACCGACGACTGATTTTTGTTTGCCCTCGGCTTTGTTTCCCTCCCGGCGATGCTTTCGGCCTCCTCCTCTTCTCGCGCGAGCTTTCGCTTCCCTCCCTCGTCCGTATAATATATCCTGTTTGCCGCGGGCGATGGTGGTGAACATACTTGGAACACGTGTTTCTTCTTGCGCTCATAGTGATGGCACGCCGGGGCGAGAGATGCGTTATCCCATCCACGTGAAAATATTTTGTTGTTCGCTTGAGCGTGTCCACGCAGGGGTGTAACGATCATTCATTTCGACGCCTGCGTTTGCTCCGGGCTTGGATATGTGAATTTATTCCAGATATATATATATATTTTCTCCTCTGTGTTTATGAATAGACATCCCGAACTCTGAACCTTTTTTTTTATAACTAATATCTGTTCAATGTATTTTTGAAGCTAATCGTTAATACAATTTGGGCTTGAGCATGAATAGTTTAAAGTTTGCTTTAGAAGAAATGATTTTTTTTTTGTGTTGTGTCTTACAGTCACCACCGGCTAACATTTTTCAAAGATTTATTTGTCCAATCAGAGTTAAACCAAACTATGTAGAATAAATTAATTTCAATACCAAAATAATTTTTATTGAAATTCCTATAGTTTCATTTTTTTCACGGCATGTGTAATGAATTTTTCTTTCGAATTGACAAATTTTCATGCATAAATATGAAATTCATTATCTTCGGTTAGAAAACTGTGTAGAAAAACAGATGGATAACAAATTTCAATACAGAAATTATTATATTTGGTTTAAGAAAACTCGTGTTATTTGGAACGTACAACGAAACTAGATTTAAAAAGCAACTAAATTAATGTTGCTTTTGTCGATTCTCGATGAATTGTTGTTAAAATATCTATTTATCACTGTTTATTTGGATCTCGTCTAAAAATAAATTTTCTTGTTCCATAGGATAGATTAGTTTTTAGGTTTCCTCCGATCGTAAATTACACAAAAAAAAAACAAAAAAAAACCAGATATTAACAATCATTATTTATTATCATAGTTCTTATGAATAAATAAAAGTTAATTCAGCTGCGTTCCAAAGCATAGCCTCTATTGTTTATCTCATAAAATATTTTCCTCAAAGTCAACCCTTTTACGCGCCGTAGTTATAATGAAGGTACAACTACATATAATCAGGCCAACAAATAACGGCTATGTGATAAAAACCTAAATAATTATACCTTAATTTAATTGACGCTTCACGTACTCAAGGTAAAGCCATTAATTTTCGGTCTTATCCGCTCACTCCTCTCTCGAGTAACGAAATTTTTTTTTTCATACATACACTCGGGAAGTGACACTGTGTACCCGCGCCACTCTGCAGCACACGTACTTATGCATGTATAAGCAAGCGTCAAGTTAAAGAGCCGCAGTCATCGGGCAAGAGGCTTCACGGACCGTCTACTCGAGTACACGTATATATTATACGCGTAGGTTATTTAAGAACACAAGTGGCTTGCGGTGTATAGGTACACCATGGAGGACAGGATTTGTTCTCTTGTTTCCCCCTTATGCTTAAATAATATCCCAAAAACCGCATTAGCCGCATGAATAATGGTAATTTGTTTTTCACCGACAGTAGACCCCCCCGTCACTCGAGACGCTCGCCGCTCCTTCCGCAGCTGTCGGCTCTGATTTCCCATAAATATATATTTAATTACCGTACACTGTACGTGTATACATGTATATCCATATGCAAGTGTCAACGAGACGTCGGTGGCGGCGTTTTTAGAATTTTTTTTTTTTTTTTTTTTTCATGGCTGTACATAGAAGGATTGGAGATTTTTAGAGATTTACCCATGTGCTCCAAAGGCGTGTACCTACATTAATCACGCGTGTAATAACGTGTGAGCAGTCGGATTTATTCGTGATTCCGGGAAATTGGAATTGAAGCTATATGCATTTAAAAAAATAAAAAAATAAAAAAAATACAAAAGAAAGAAAAAATAGAATAAAGCTAATGATATGTACAACATATTTTTATTGTGCAATTAGTTTTTTGGGTTCGGTATACAAATTCAGTCCTGTTTTGTACACTGGACATGAATCAAATGGGAAATAGAAATTAATCGAGAAATGTGTTAAAAATTGCTCTGCAAAATATAATATATGATTTATCGATTTTTCAAATAAAGTTTCTACAATGTATATGAATTATCCTGAAAACCAATAAATGTTCTCGAAATCGAAATAAACACATATCATTCGAGATCTCTTAATAATGTAAAAATTCAGAAGTTTGAAGCTTATCGGCTTTTTTGAATCATAAAACTTGATCTGCCATACGTATGATGTTTAAAATATTTGTACAGGCACGTGTAAATATCATTGATTAAAAAGCTTTTATAACTCAATGTTTTTTTTTACACACGGGAAACCCCGAAAAACTTGATCATACATCACATCAAGATAATCTTCCCAGTCTATCGCATAAATTTTTTTCAGATCCAGTTTTATTATGTAAAATATCATTATGATTGTGTTCCAGACTGCCTGCACCTGCAGCTGTACGGCGACAGCAAGGACAGGTACAAACAGGGCCAGACGAAGGCGTCGCTGAGCTTGCAGCACTTTCTCGGTGTACAGAGCGGCTTCACCCTCGACAAGGAATCCAACACCATTGCCATCATCTGCCAAGACGTGACTGTCGTGCTCGCCTTCGACACGCGGGAAAGGCTCATACAATGGCAGGTCAAAATATCAAACAACCTCGGCGAAGGTACATCCACGTGTATTTATTATCACGCGCTTCTTGAGACTCGTGTTTATTTTTTTATATATAAACATTTATGCATATATGGGTGCACGCACAATAGGCACCATTATATAACAACCAAATACAAGAGATGTTCAACTTGAGGAAAAAATAAAATAAAAAACGTCTCGCCTATACAATGGCACTCGACGACGACCCGAGCATAATACGTACATAAATACGCGAGAATAAGTATCATGTACACGCGCGTAAGATCTTCTTTCGCGCGATTGAAAATTACAACATACATAGGCATGGAGATAGCGCACGCGATTACGTTAGACAACCAATACTACACGCAGTAAGGGTATGAATATATCTGCTGTTCGCGTCACGAGAGAAGCACTTGTATGTATGTGTATACCCTCGAACAATAGACCCCGAGAAAACGATTATTATTTCATCGTATTATATATTATACCCTCTGACGAGCATTATACACGCGTACGTACAAGTAAGAGGGTAAAAGAACAAAGACGAGCGTTGTCTGCTTGATGGGCATCAGCTTTAAAATCTACTTCTAACTATATAAGCGACCATGCAAACACACATTTCAAGGTGCACATATATATATGTATAAAATACAAAGAGAACCGGGGAAACCATCAACAACAGATCGAGAGAGAGAGAGAAATGGAGGAAAGCAGCGTGCAGCCGTTGGCGCGTATATAAAAGTATTGATTCACGCACACGCGCGAGGAGGAGTGTGAGAAAGAGAGCGAGCGCGCGAGCGTGGGTACAGGGGGGTGGGCGACGGGGCGAAGGGCGCACGAGACATGTATACACGACTTGAATGGTATATATTATACAACAGAGGGCAATTTGTCAAATTGATCCCCCGCACGATCTATCCGCGTATAATAAGTATATAATATATATATATGTATATACATGCATACATATACATTTCTATACACGCGCGGATCTATCCATTGGGCCGATACAAAAACGTGCGAACGTGCGAGCACACCCAAACGCACACATAGCAGGTGCTTGAAATATTATTTAACAAAAAGATCAAGCGCCGCGTGACCAACGGCATTGTTCTTGCGGTGGCGTTTTCGCTCCCTCGACAATGTCATCGTCCGGAAGCGCGTTGTTTTTTATTTTTTTTTTTTTATATTCACCCACCACCAGCGCGAATTGGCGCTTTTAAAATATTTTTTGTTTCGCTTCTATTCTACCGCAATAACGTGATTTGGATGTTTCGACGCCTCAATTGTTCAACCGCGGCTTCAAACGTAACTCTCCCTTTTTTTCTTCCCTCCGGGGGGTTTTATATCCGTATATACGGCGATATGCGAGCGGAATATAATGGCGTCTCTATTATCCCCCGGTGCACATGAAAAAACGCGGCGGGCGTGTGCACCTGCTACTGCCGTTGACGGTCGCTTGTTATCGTTTTTGCAAACAGTACGAGAGGCGATTTTCTTTTTTTTTTTTTTTTCATATTCTNCAGAGGGCAATTTGTCAAATTGATCCCCCGCACGATCTATCCGCGTATAATAAGTATATAATATATATATATGTATATACACTTGGCTGAATAAATGATGAATGAATTTTGTCGTAGACCAAGAGTTCCTGGTGCTGCTATCGAGCGCCCCGGCCAAGGCGAAGCTCAACACCGGCCCGGCCCAGTTGCACGTGCGCGAGCAGCGCTTCTGCATGACGAGCGGCGTCCCGCCCCGGCTCCTCGGCACCTGGGAGATCGGCCAACTGCGCCGCTACGGCGTCGTCGAGGGCCGCTTTTGCTTCGAGGGTGGCTCCCGTTGCGGCCGGGGCGAGGGCCTCCACGTCCTCATCACCGACCAAGCCGAGGAGATCGCGCGGGCTCTTCAACTGGCGGCCGAGGACAAGCTCATCGCCCAACAGCAGCTCAACCAGGGGCCCCAACGCACCAATGCCCGCCTCCACCTGCTGGACAGCCCGCGCCGGCAGCCCTTCGACTCCTGCGAGCTCTTCTCCCCGTCCACGTCCTCCTCGTCGGCTTACTGGGCCTCGGCAGAGAGCCGCCAACAGGAGCCCGACTCGGCCTCCCTCCTCTCGGAGCTCGCCGCCACTGCCGACCACCACACCCTTCACCTCCACCACCACCACCACCAACCCCAACAACAACAGGGCACGGATTGGCGAAGCTGCTCGCTCTCTCGTCAGCAGCACGTGAGCGCGGCTTGCCTCGAGCGTTGCTCGAGCTGTATCAGCAAACTCGGTGGTATGTCCAAGTCGTCGACTTGCGCGACTACGGCCACGCTGGCGAGTTCGGGGGCGAGTAGCAGCCACCTTGGCCACCTGCAGCCTCGGGGAGCCTTCGACCGGATCTCGTTGTCGTCCTACAGCAGTAGCAACAGCAACAGCCACGACAGCGACTACTCGGCCGCCGGCTCGCCCCAGCCAGCGCTTATCCCAAGGCCCGGCCAAGCGATGCCCCAACAGTTGCCACCCAGGCCGCCCAAGCCGTCTAACGCTGCTGCTGGTGGTGGGCCCATCGTCAAGAGGCCGAACAAGCCTCCCATGCCCCTGCCGCTCGAGCCGAGCACCACGTGCACCTGTGCTGTGGCCAAGAGAGCCGCCGCCGCCGCCGCCGCCGTACCTTCTCGCAGTGGTTGGTTACTTGTTGTTTTTTTTTTTCCATCGCTGTCATCTCTTATTGATTGCGTTGCGTCTCTCGTGTGTTACAGGCGCAGCAACTACGGCACCGGGGCCGTACGAGAATTACGACATCCCGAAGACGATGTTCCATCACTCGTCCGTGGTGGGGGAGCAGCAGAGTCCCCAGGCGGAAGCTTCGTTGAACTACGACACCCCGCGCAAGATCAAGGAGTGTCTCGCGATGCCGAAGGCCTACCCCAACTACGACACGCCTCTCGCGCCCCAGGCCGTGGTTCTGCAGCAGTGCGGCTGCCCGGCAAAGTTGCCGGCCCCGGTAGCCCCGACACCCCAGCTGCCCAAGGTCCTGGGCTGCCCGTGCCAGAACGTCATGAGCTGGGCGGGCTTTGTCCTGCCCTACTGTCGTCGGGGCGCCGGCATCGAGCCCACGGGGGTTTCCATGCAGCCGGTGCGGCTGTCCGGCGAGGGAAAAATGCCCGTGGTCAACGCCAACGGTCAGCTCACCATATACAGCTCTCCGAGCAGCGCGAGCGTCGAGGCCAACCAGAGCACCACCAGAGCCTCGAGCAACGACTGCGAGTGCCCCGTGCATCCATCCTTCGAGGGCGTGACGGCCGCCAATTACGAGAACGTCGAGCCCGTCATCGATACCCAGCCTGAGCCCAAGTCGGCCAATTACGCCAACATCGAGTTCACCGAGTCCCTTGGCAATTACGAAAACAGCAAGGTCCTTTTGTCCAAAGTTGGCGTTGGCTCCCTGGACGAGATGGACAATCAGAAGCGCGAAAACCAACAGCAGCAAATCGAAGACCGGAAGGAGGAAACCGAGGAGGATGCCAACAAGTCGGGTGTCTGCCACAAGTGCGGTCACCCGAAGGAGGCCAGCAGCAGCAGCAACGGTAGTCACGACTATTTGGTCGTGGACGAGGAGAACGATGCGCCAGAGAAGAAACCGGTTCCAGGCTACTTGCCCATGCAGCCGGCGCACAACGCCTGCTCCAAGGAAGTCCTGTCGAGGCTGTGCAGCGGAGTCAAGAGCTCGAGCAACCCCGCGCTCTCGGGCTCGTCGAGCCTCGAGTCGAGCAGAAAGAGGTCGGAGTCCGAGTATCGCGTGCCCGGGTCGGCGATGCTCTCTAGTCCCTACTTCCGGCGTCGCCTGCTCGACATGTCCGCGTCGAGCACCGAGGTCGGAGCCGGCCTGGGCATGCTCTTGCGCAAGAGATCCTACTCGGCCGAATCGGCTCACTGTCTCGACGACGACAAGAGCCCCACGGCGGCTGGTGCCCAGCACAAGTGCAGCAACACGGACGAAAAGCAAGCGCTCACGAACAACGAGGCTGCCGCCGATTCCAAAAATGAAACAACGACGGCGACGACGAATGGTAGCCCACAGGGCGCTTGCCTGTCGCCGCAGGCTCTCAATCCTCCTTTGGCTTCCATCAAAATCCGAAGATCCTCTTCGGTGCCCTCCAAGACTGGTCAGAATCGCGACTCTTCGAGCAGCAACGACTCGGGCGTGTCCACGGGATCGCTCAGCCACAGGACCGCCGAGTTCGTTGAGTTTGAATTCCCTCTGGCTCCGGCCAACACGTTAATCAAGAAACAGAGCGTGCCCCACGTGTACCGGAAGAGCCCGCCGCTCGCCTGCTTTCATGGTAGCCTACCGAGAAAGTCCAAGTCGAGCGATCCCCTGAAGGAGATAACTTTCCAGTTCCATAAGATTAAACTACCGGCAAAGTCCTCGTCTGCCGAGGCCGACATCACGACTTGCTTACCGTCAAAGGCATCCAAAGAATTTAATAGCCCCGGCGAGGCGTCGAGCATTGTTCCCTACATCGATTCACGAAGTACGAGCAGCGGCACGTCGGATATGTCGGACTACATTGAAACTTTGTCCCTATCGTCCCACTCCTCCTCGGATGCTCCTGATAATCTGAGGTAATTTTTCATTTTTTTTTTTTTTTCGAGTCTCCGCAAAGTTTCGAGTATCAAAATCAGACTTTTATGCTGTCATATTGTTGTTTTAAGTACGCAGTGTTGAGTAAAGTGTTATTTTTTATCGTTTGCAGAGTTGGTGGTAGAGCTGTAGCAACAACCTTGCGTCCACGTAGCGGTAAGGAATATTACAAAATAGATCGAAGTATCTTGGTAGAACAGGGTCAACCACTTGGCGCTTCATCGAACTACGCTAATATTGTGCCATGTGCGAGAAAAGAAACTCCTCGTCATCCGGTTACATAAATGGATTGGCTGTGCGGATATTCGACTGCGCTAATTGGGTTCGAGTCACTTTGCGCCCTTTAGATAAAAGGAAATCGTGAGTGACTATGGACAATACAATTATTATTTTGGGCCATTTGGACCCGAGGGTAAATAATGAAGTTAAGATATATCGCTTAGTCAATCTAAAACGAAAAGCTTGCTTCGGAGCTATGAATATTCTAAAATGCGGACTGCGATAAATCTGCTCGAATCAGACTCGATCTCACGAGTAGATAAGACTAACTGCCCAGATAGGGGGTTGAGAATATTTATTTAGTAGAATGAAAGACATCGAAAATTCTGTCGATGAGTTTGAAACAGTGAAGCTTTTCAAGCTCGCGGTACTGACTACACTACTATAATATACTTTTAGATGAAATTCTAGAGTATAAGGCTATATCGTATTTGTCGATTCTAAAATATCTAATTATTAAGTCGTGAATCATCAAAAATGTATTTGGAAGATGAATTTTTTATTCCAAACGGAATAATTACTCTGGCTATTGAATCAAAAATAATGAATTGATTCCTATATTTTAAATTGTCCTTGAAGTATTTTAAAAAAAAATTTAAAAGTCCAACAGCACTTGATTTTCAAATTAATCGTGTGCGCATAAGCGGTTGTACAAAATTGAACATTTAGTAATGATATCTGCTGTATCGTTTTATAATCAAGCCAAACTTAAGGTGGCTATTTACTTGATCGACTGTTTTATCAATGTATACTTAACTGTTTACAATACCAGAGAAAAAAAGACTTGAAAAAATTTCAATTGATAATTAATACCATGGATTTTTACCGTATACTTTTTTCGATTTAATAAGTTATAAGTGAATTTTAAAACTTAATCAAATAGGCCTAAGAAGCTTTACAGCGAATCGAGACGAGTGCAGGATTTTCGCTTGAAAAATCAACCAACGTTTATCGAATTTTACTACGGACATTCGCCTCAATAAAATTAGTATGTAAAAAAATATTTATCCTCCAAAAATTGGAAATTTAAAAAAAGGTCTTGTTCGAGGTTTTGGAACGATAGACAGAGCGGAGAAAGATTTTATCCGTGTGTATGTGTGGATTTTGTAACATATTTTTTTTATTATATATATATATATTTTTTTTTTTCGTTAAAAAATACACAAGAATCTGCTTTAATTGCTTTTTTGCGTTGTTCATGTCAAGTTACCACACGGGAATTTCGCCCTATTTTTGACATGGGCACACGTAGGAAAGTGACGTCTCACAAAGGAGATACGCTTAATAAGTTTTTGTTACATTCGCAACAGTCAATGTATAGAGTCGATCAATCAAGTGTCGTCAAAGTCTGTACATGGGAGGATTAGATAAACAGTATAGATAAGAAATAAAATGGGAGAGGTTGAAAGGTGGATGAACAGAGAGAGATAGTGTAATGTAAAGTGCGTTTTCTGGTAGTTTAAAAACTATAAAGTGTTCACGAGTCGGTCGCGATAGGTGTCCCAGCTCCTATGTGTATACGGCTATGCTGCAGCTGCTGTGACTTTCTCTCAGCATTTTTGTACGCTTGTATAATCATATGGAGCACTCGAGTCGAGCTAGAGCGAGTTCGAGTCCGTCTCGAGACTCGTCCGAATATTTTCAGGCTGTCCAAACGCAAATTTTTTTTCCTCTCTCTGCTCGCAGATATTACGTGTGTTTTTTTTTCGCAACTCCAAGATATGTGGTCATTGTAGTTTGGATAGCCAGGAAATTTTCGAGCTCGTCAGCAATAATTCGACACCTGGAACTCTGTTACATAATAAAAAAAAAAAAAAGATTTAACTTGGATACTTTTACCCTCGATGGCACTTTATGGCTTTCACGTTGTTGTCGTTGTTTCACGCGCTTACAGCATTTCAATCTGCCGATTGTATTTTTGGTTGGCAGTTTGTGCCATTCCTTCGAACAAACTATTGCTCGTACGTACTTACGTCAGGCATTGCATAGGCTTGGTTTTAAAATGCGATTCAAGTATCCTTCATACGAGGATATGATCAATCCAAAGTTTTAGTAATTTGTATACAATGGTTTTATTTACTTTTTCAATTTACTGATGCACAATAGTTTAAATAACTAACGTAGGGAACATTTATTAGTGTAATAGAAACGTAGGTTTCCTTTTAAATTTTGTATCTTGTTTTTTTTTTTTTTTTTTCCGATTCTGTCGTACCTATGCAGTTTTCAAACAAGTCGAAAATACCTACGAAATTTGCTATTTTTGTCTTGAAACTTGACAAACAAGTCGAAAAATTGTTATTTTTCAAGTATGCGATTCATACTTTTTACACACCATAATTTTTTATTTTTATCTCCGTAATCAATAAAATTATTGCGGTTTTTAGAGCAGTGTCTAATGGGACCTTGCCCTGCCTCCTTGCTGGCCGAGCGATGCCCTCGCGGTAAAGCGGCAATTGTATATTTTCGTCGATTGTTGACGAAAGTCATACTTACAGACCTCGTCCTCGTAGCCGTACTCTTTCAATTGCAGACGTTGTGCGTCTGAGATGAGCTGCTCGCTTTTTTTCGGGCGCCGGAAGTTCAAGTACTTGATCTTTTCGCTGCTTTTTGGACAAAGCAAACCTGTGCTTCTTAAGCTTTTAGGTTTTACAAGGGTCTTTAGCGAAGCGTAGGCAAGTACTTCTTTTTGAGTAGGTGATTTTTTCGCTGGCGCGTCTTGAGCTTTATTTTCTTGTAAAGCCTTCTTACTCTTTACTTGCTTCTTTGACCCATGTGGCAAAAGACCGGCCATGGATGTGGAGCAAGGATTTTGAAAATAAGATGGGCCACTATTCTTGACATTTTTTCCCATTTCTTGTGTTTTGTCGCTGCTTGTTTGTGATATATTTTTTCCTCTTACTAATGATATCCGTTACTATTACCCTTGCGACGAGGGAGAACTTCCCTGCTCGTACATCAGGTACCAGTGAACGATCACGCTACTCTGAAGCATCCAACGAGAGACTATGTATTATACCTAATTACGTAGCACTCAGTGCTCGCGGTGAGAGAGAAAAAGAGAGAGGAAGATCCGAGCGGAAACCTGACAAGTTAGCCAAAATCATCGACCAGCTAGAGAGAGAACGATACTTCATTAACATCTCTCTTTTCACTTCACTTGTTCTTAGGCTATAAATATAAGTATAGAGTTACCCAAATGTGCGAGTGTTCAATATCGAGCCAATTTTTTCGCTAATTCGTAGCATTTTCTCTTCACTTTTTGCTAAATAGTTCATCGACTAAATCTCGTTACAGTAAATTCCTCTGAATCAATATTGCTTTGTCTCCCCTTACTGTTTTACCTGTCTATACATCATTATTGCTGTAAAACAATAATGTGCTTGCTTTTTTTAACGTCTTAGTACGCTGTCAGAATTCAAGTGCATTTCTCATTTTACTTCAACAGCGTAACTGAGCTTTAAAATTAGCGATGAATAACTATACTTACGTAAATATTTCCCGTCCTTCGGATGACGAGATTTTTACCATTCGACGCTGTGTTTATTTTATTACTTGGTTGCTCATTCGTAAGAAACACGTGTTACTTAATTTCGCAGTATTTAATTCGTAAGTGTAGAATATTATCAAGTGTTGAATTTTTTTAGTTGTTTTCTTTTTTGTATTTATTTGTTTAGAATAGGTGTTCACATTGCAAAGTCCTCTTATTTCGTTGTCCGCACTTTATGGTACAATATGGCTTTTTTGTAGATTTAAAAAAAAAAAGGTTTACACGAGCTAGAACTCTTGCATCGATTTATATCAAAATAGGACGAAGATGTAGAAGCTTCTTTTTTGTTTTTTTCCTCACTTTGGCGAATACGAAGCTGATGTAGTAATTTGTGGAATTTGAATCAAAAATAATGAATTGATTCCTATATTTTAAATTGTCCTTGAAGTATTTTAAAAAAAAATTTAAAAGTCCAACAGCACTTGATTTTCAAATTAATCGTGTGCGCTTAAGCGGTTGTACAAAATTGAACATTTAGTAATGATATCTGCTGTATCGTTTTATAATCAAGCCAAACTTAAGGTGGCTATTTACTTGATCGACTGTTTTATCAATGTATACTTAACTGTTTACAATACCAGAGAAAAAAAGACTTGAAAAAATTTCAATTGATAATTAATACCATGGATTTTTACCGTATACTTTTTTCGATTTAATAAGTTATAAGTGAATTTTAAAACTTAATCAAATAGGCCTAAGAAGCTTTACAGCGAATCGAGACGAGTGCAGGATTTTCGCTTGAAAAATCAACCAACGTTTATCGAATTTTACTACGGACATTCGCCTCAATAAAATTAGTATGTAAAAAAATATTTATCCTCCAAAAATTGGAAATTTAAAAAAAGGTCTTGTTCGAGGTTTTGGAACGATAGACAGAGCGGAGAAAGATTTTATCCGTGTGTATGTGTGGATTTTGTAACATATTTTTTTTATTATATATATATATATTTTTTTTTTTCGTTAAAAAATACACAAGAATCTGCTTTAATTGCTTTTTTGCGTTGTTCATGTCAAGTTACCACACGGGAATTTCGCCCTATTTTTGACATGGGCACACGTAGGAAAGTGACGTCTCACAAAGGAGATACGCTTANGTACAATATGGCTTTTTTGTAGATTTAAAAAAAAAAAGGTTTACACGAGCTAGAACTCTTGCATCGATTTATATCAAAATAGGACGAAGATGTAGAAGCTTCTTTTTTGTTTTTTTCCTCACTTTGGCGAATACGAAGCTGATGTAGTAATTTGTGGAATCATCGCAGCTCTCGGGTCGTGATGTTTATGCCAGCTGTAAATAACATCCGATTAATGTTTTTTTTTTTTTTTTTTTTACTTTACACTATATTTATATTTGTACCTGAATCGCGTATGGGTTTTTTATTGTATTACAATGGATTAAAGTTATAATTTTACAAACAAGTATATATTTTATTATCAAGGCCTATTTTGCACTCACTCACATTGTACATCTAAAATAGGGGGGAATGTAAGAATAGTATGATGAGTCATAGGAAACAATATTCATCACTAATTTATTTCGTATAGTCTGTTATTAAAAAATACAAACAGAGCACTTTACCCTTTTGGGGGTTGTATACATTACCGATTGTTTTTGTTTATTCGTTTTTCTTAATTTTTCACCAATAATTCAGAAAGGTGCCAAAGAACCTCTCTTTGTAAGTTAATTAAGCTGTATCCTCGTTCTGCGCTTATTACCTCATTCATTTTTAGCTATACGAACTTTCCAACAGTAAGAAACATCCTCGGTTGTAAGGTTTTTTTTTTTTTTTTTTAAATGGTTGTCCTAACTTAACTTCCAAATTTGTATAAACTACGCGTTAACCCGGTATATATTATTTTTTAACG